TTGTCTCTTTTTTTGTCCCCTTATTGTCTCCTTATTGTCTCCTTATTGTCTCCTTTTTGTCTCTTTTTTTGTCTCCTTATTATATATAATTAGGGTATAGAGTTATATGTATTATTTATTAATTAATGTATCTCCTTATTGTCTCCTTATTGTCTCCTTATTGTCTCCTTTTTGTCTCCTTTTTGTCTCTTTTTTTTTTGTCTCCTTATTATATATAATTAGGGTATAGAGTTATATGTTGGGTTAATAGGCAAAACCCTCCGAGGGTTTGCTGTTAAGGAAGAATTACTTGGATATACTATCATACATACACGGTATACTGCTGCTGCTGCTGCTGCTGCTGCTGCTGCTGCTGTTGCTGCTGCTGCTGTTGCTGCTGCTGCTGTTGCTACTGCTGCTGTTACTGCAGTAGGCTGTACTGCTGCTACAGTGCCCAACCACAGGGGAGTCCCTGCATGCATGCATGCGTGCATGCATGCATGCATGCATGCGTTTTTTGGGGCTTTGCAGGGACAGTCGTCTCCTTGAGTTGCAGCAATGGAGTTTGGGGGCCCCCCATGATGCAGCAGTGGGTCTTGTCCTCCTTAAGAAGGCATGAGGGGGGCCCCCTACTATCTTAGGGCCATAGGGGCCACCAAATAGGGGCCCCTACATAGGGCCCAACAAGGTACCTTTTTGATAATCTGTTGTATCCAGGGGCCCCCCAAGTACCCTTTTTTCTTCAGGGGCCCCCTTAGTCAAAAGTCTCCCATGGGGGCCCCCTGGGGGGCCCCCCTAGCTAAGGACTTCCTATTTAAATAGTACTTAATAAGGCAATAAACCCTAGTACCCTATAAACTCCAACAGGTACCTATGGGGGGGCCCCAAGAGGGTTTAGGGGCCCCTCCCTGTGTCTGCTGCAGCAGCAGCAGACTGCAGCAAGCAGACCTGGTACCAGCAGCAACTAAACCCTAAACTATAATAAACCCTAAACCTTAAACCCTAAACGGTAAAGCAGCAGCAGCAGCAGTTGCTGCTGCATGCATGCATGCATGCATGCATGCAGCAGCAGCAGCAGCAAACGGGTGTAAACGGTAAAGAATAAACGGAGACAAAAATCAAACTGTTTTGCTGCTGCAAGCTGTGTGCAGCAGCAAGAAAAAGCCCCTGATTCTTGTCTGCAGCAGCAACAGCAGCAGCAGCTGCTGCTGCTGTTGCTGCTGTTGCTGCACTTGATGTTGCTGCTGCAGCATTTGCTGCAGCAGAAAAAAAAGGGGGAAAAAGAGTTGCTGCTGCATGTATTTCTTATTTACTGCCATTTATATTAAACGCATGCATGCATGCATGCATGCATGCATGCACTGCATGTGTTTGCATGCATTATTATATACGCATGCAAAGAAAAAGCCCCAAAAGTAAGGGCAATAATAATATGCATTTATGTATAGCTGCCTATACACCAGAAAAAGCAGCAAATATATATAATTTATATAATAATATTTATATATAATAATAATTATATATAATAATAATTATATATATAATAATAATAATATATATAATAATATATAATAATAATATATATGTATATAATATATACTGTGTAATATATAATGTATAATATATAATATATATAATAATAATAATATATATACATATATAATAATATATATTAATAATATATATTTATATATGTATATATATACTTATATATATAATATGTATATATATAAGGGAAAAAAGACGCTGCTATCCTCCATAGAAAAAAAAGAGGAAAAAAAAAGACAAAAACACTCAAAAAGGAGGAGACAGCAGCAATGCATGCATGCATGCATGCATGCAGCAGCAGCAGCAATTGCTGCTGCTGCTGCTGCTGCTGCTGCATGCATGCATGCATGCACCGATAAAAAACCAATTAAAATTGAACAGCCATAAACATTTGTTTGTCCCCTGTCTTCCTACTGGTGCTACATTAGCTGCTACATTTGCTGCTGCATGCATGCATAAACAAGCAGCAGCAGCAGCAGCAGCAGCAGCAGCAGCAGCAGCAGCAGCAGCAGCAAATTAGATATTTTTCCATACATCAGTAGCATCAACCATCTCTCCTGTTAATGTTGCGATTACCCACAAATCATCAGACCTAGGAGGAAGTGTATATTCTTCTTCTTCTTCTTCTTCTTCTTCTCCCTCCCCTTTTTGCTGCTGCTGCTGCTGCACTTGCTGCACTTGCTGCTGCACTTGCTGCTGCTGCTGCACTTGCTGCACTTGCTGCTGCTGCTCAGGATGGTGCTGCACCTCCTGCTGCTGCCTCTGTGGAGGAAATACACCCTTTAGATGAGGAGGAGCAGGAGATAATATTGTCCCTTTTATTACTATTTGTCTCCTTTCTTTCTTATTATTATTTATATTATTATTATTATTATTTATATTATTATTTATATTATTATTTATATTATTATTATTATTATCCTTATATAAATATAAATCTATTAATATATAATTATTAGATAATAAAGGTCTT